ATGACACTTGTCTTTCAGTTTGCATGATTCTGTTGCCAAGGAGATATTGTGTACTATGAACAAGAAATAAATTGGTTTCCCTTAATGGATTATTCCTAAAGTGGATAAGAATTCGGGGGGCTTTTTTTTAAAGAATTAAAGTAAGATTCCAGTGCTTTAAACAAATTGAGGATTCTCTCAATTCCACTTATTAAAGAGAGCCAATGAGAGACACAAAGAACATTCAGTGCCAGCAAAATCACAAAAATCCATTAATTGTTCACTTTGAACTGTATAAACGCTGGCAGAAGAGAACAATTTCATGACAATTACATCAAAGCAATGGAAGGATAAGAGCTGGCGTTAGAGCAGCCTCACGTACAATATGAGCAAGACAACCAACAGCTTTCATAGACTCATTCATGCTTTATCTTCTTTTTTTTTTTTTTTTAAGATTTATTTATTTGACAAGGACAGCAAGAGAGGGAACACAAGCAGGGGGAGTGGGGGAGGGAAAAGCAGGCTTCCCTTCCCAGCAGGGTTTGATCCCAGGACCCTGGGATCACAAGCTTAGCTGAAGGCAGACGCTTGATGACTGAGCTACCCCGGCACCCCCACGCTTTCCTTTCAGCTTTGAATAAACAATGTCTGCACTTCATGTAAACATCTACCAACATTTGTATTTGTATTATCTCCACCAAAAGCAGTACAATTTTCCTTATTAACTCCTACCTCAAAGAGTCTACAAAAATTTTCTCTTGTTTCTGAGGTCTCAGGAAGGGATTTTACTCAAAAGAGCCTTACAAGTGAACCTTTTCACAAGAAGAGTATTGCACAAAGGGAAAGTTTTCTTGCATTGTCATTACTTGCATTCGTGATGATGCTGTGAGAAGATAAAGCATTTAGAGTTTTTTTTTTTAAGATTTTATTTATTTATGAAGCACCTGGGTGGCTCAGTGGGTTAAAGCCTCTGCCTTCGGCTCTGCCTTCATGATCCTAGGGTCCTGGGATAGAGCCCCGCATCCATCGGGCTCTCCGCTCGGCAGGGAGCCTGCTTCCTCCTCTCTCTCTGCCTGCCTCTCTGCCTACTTGTGATCTCTGTCAAATAAATTTTAAAAAAATCTTAAAAAAAGATTTTATTTATTTATTTGACAGAGAGGAAGATCACAAGTAGGCAGAGAGGCAGGCAGAGTGCTGTTTTGATAATCACTACAGCAGTAAAAGGAATTATTGCATTTTTAACTATTGCGGTAGATTTTGTCCTGGCATTTGAAATTTTGCTTATAGTTTGGAATTAGAAAATACTTCTGGTAGCAGTACATTCAAATAGTCATTTGAGCTGAAAGACTGATGACAATATACAGTGTGGGAAGCCATTAGAACTTCTGCTATGATCATTTTATCTTGTTCATCTGGATTTCTCTTAGTCAAAAAATTGTTATATGGAAGTGTTGAATTGCTGTACTGGACACCTGAATTACACTGTATGTTAACTTAGCTAGTTTATATCTGACTTTATACCATTTTCTTTTCTTAAGATTTTATTTGATTTTATTTTAAAGGTTTATTTATGAGAGAGAGGGAGAGAGCACACAAGTGGGAGGGGCAGAGGAGGGGGGAAAGAGAGAATCTCAAGCAGACTCCAAGCTGAGTACAGAGGCCTACATGGGGCTCAATCCCATGACCCCGAGATCATGACCTGAACCAAAACCAGTAGTTGGACGCTCAATTGACTGCACCACCCAGGAACCCCTAAGATTTTATTTTTTTAAGACTTTATTTATTTTTGAGAGAGAGCACACGCACAAGTGTTGGGGAGAGGCAGAGGAAGAAGCAGACACTCTGCTGAGCAGGAAGCATGATACAGAACTTGATCCCAGGACACTGGTATCGTGACCTGAGCTGAAGGCAGACACTTAACTGACTTAGCTACCCAGTGCTCCTTGGCTCAAGTCTTGATCTCAGGGTCATGGGGATTCAGGCCCCACACTGGGTTCCACGTTGGGCATGGAGCCTACTTAAAAAAAGAAAGAAAGAAATATATAAATTGGATATCATCAAAATTAAAAATTTTGTGCTTTGAAGGACACTGTCAGGATTGTGTAAAGACAATACACAGAATGGGAGAAAAATTTTGCAAATCATATAGCTGATAAGGGACTTGTATCCAGAATATATAAACTATTACAACTTAATTTAAAAGGGAAATAACCAAATAAAAAATGGGCTAAAGAGGGGCACCTGGGCAGCTCATTCAGTTAAGCATCTCCCAGAGTCCTGAAATCTAGCCCTGCATGGGGCTCCCTGTTCAACGGGGAGTCTGCTTCTCCCTCTGCTTCTGCCCCCCACTCGTGCTCTCTCTCAAATAAATAAAGAAAATCTTTGAAAAAAATGGGCAACAGATCTGAACAGACATTTCTCCAATAAGATGTACAAATGGCTAATAGATGAAAAGACGCTCAACATCATTAGCTATCATGGAAATGCAGACCAAAACCACAATGAGATATGACTTCACACCCACTAAGATGGTTATAATCAACCAAAAAGATGGATAATAAGTTTTGGCAAGGATTTAAAGAAATAGGAACTCAGATATATTGCAGGTGAGAATGTAAATGGTGCACTGCTTTAAAAAATAGTTTGGGGGATCCTCAACAGGTTAAAGAGTTACCATATGACCCAGTAATTTCATGCCTAGATAATATACTCAACAGAACTTTAAACATATGTCCACGTTAGATCCTGTACACTCATGCTTATAGCAGCATTAGCTATAAAATAGTAAAAATGTGGAAAAAACCCAATTGTACATCAACTGATAGGTGGATAAGAAAAGTGATTTATCCATGCAATAGAATGTTATTTGACTATAAAAATTCTTATACATGCTACAACATGGATGAACCTTGCAAACATTATGCTAAGTGAAATAAGTCACAAAGGACCATATTCTGTGTGATTCAGCTTACAGGAAATGTTGGGAATGGGCAAATCCATAGAGAGAGAGAAAGATTAAGGGTTGCCTACGTCTGGGACCATTGGAGAGAAATGGGGGAATGGCTGCTTTCATAAAAGGTGTAGGTTTTCGTGTTGGGGTGATGAAAATGTTCTAAAGTTGTTTGTTGTGACTACACAATTTTGTGAACATACCTATAGAATTGCAAAATAAATAAAAAACTGGAGGCACCTGGCTGGCTCAGTAAGTGGTGCATGAGACTCTTGATCTACAGCTTGTGGGTTCAGGCCCATGTTGGGTGTGGAGATTAGTTAAAAATAAAATCTTCAAGGGGCACCTGGGTGGCTCAGTGGGTTAAGCCTCTGCCTTTGGCTCAGATCATGATCTCAGGGTCCTGAGATTGAGCCCTGCCTGCATGGGGCTCTCTGCTCAGCAGGGGAGCCTGCTTCCCTCTCTCTCTGTGCCTGCCTCTCTGCCTACTTGTGATCTCGGTCTGTCAAATAAATAAATAAAATATTTTTAAAAAATAAAATCTTCAAAAAGAAAAGTAAAGAAAGTGGTAATAGCAATCATAGCAAGACTTGAAGAGGTTGTATTTATAAATCTCCCGGCTGAGACTGAGTTGTCACAAGTCCAAACTCATAACTAATGGTACCTGGGAGTTGAGTCTTAAAAGGATTTCAAACTTTGGATTAAAAAAATTTTTGAACTCAATATCTGATGCAGAAAAAAGATGAACTTCTCTGCCTGCAAAGAAGAGCTGTACTTGCAAGTCACAGTCCACAGCCACCCTCAACAAAACCAGAGCTGATCTTATACATAATGTTTTGGAAAGTCTTGCGTTGGGAGATTGAAGGTATTTCAGAAACGGGAGAACCCAGGTCCCTATCGACGACTTCCAGCTCTGTTAGTGTGGTCACCAAGGCAGCTGAAGACCCGGCTAACTTCTGAAGCCCCGTCATCGGAGCGAGGCACTTGCGGATTGGCTGTTGTCTAAAAGCGTGGAGCTGTCAATGATTGGCTAACTTTCAGAACCTTGGGGGCTGTCGTTGATTTACTAACTTTTCAGAAGCGCAGTTACTGGAGTGAAGCTGTTGTTGACTGGCTGATTTTCAGAAGCGGAGCCACTGGAGTGAAGCTGTCGCTGATTGGCTGATTTTCAGAGCCTGTGTTTTGATGCGAAGTTATCTCTAAACAATGGTGGTTACTTGTTCACTGCTTGCAACTTGAGCCAAGAAAAGTCCTTTTTTTGAATATGAATAATAAGTACTTTTAATTTTTAGTCCTTTCTTTTGGTCTTCCCTCAGCTAAACCTATGGAAGAACACAGGGATTATTCAGATCTTTTTAGTTGCGGAGGTAGGATATTTCAGCTGTTGCCATTTAAGTGATTTAAGCTCACATTGCCTCGGCGGAAAAAGAACTCTAAAATTTTTGTAATGGATTGCAAAAAGATCAGTACAGGCATGTAAGGCATCCTGACAAAGTACGGGATACAAGACAAAAAACGCGTCCTGCGTAAGTGAAATTCCTGATAACCCTAACAATTAAGGATTTCCCCCGTTTTACACAGTCTCGGTGGGATTAGGCTTCTTGTACAAGACCCTGGAGTATGAAACAGGTCCAGCCAGGATGTGAGCGGTAAAGGGCAAGGATCCCCTGGGAACCTATGGGCCCCTGACGCCCATTCCCTGAGCTTGTGTGTGCGCGTACCGCTATCCTGAGGTCGGCTAGCAATCAGCTGGATGTTTGAAGGGAGGATGCGCAGTTGATTAGCAGTGGGTGAAGAAAGAGCAGCGAGGAACTCGCCTGGGAGACCTAGGGAAGCGAGCCCAGAACGTGGGAGGGGTTCAGGTTCCTGCGATGCTCCGGGACCTGGGTGCCGCAGCGGAAGCCTTTGCTGGAGGCCGAAGCCGGCAGAGCGGGGCGGGGCAAACCCAGGCCCCGCCCCCGGGCGCGTCCGCGTGCGTGGCTGGGGGCGCAGCAGAGAGCCCCACTCCATGATGCGGGGCCTGAGGACAGTGCAGAGCCTCGGCGTGAGAGCCCCCATCCGGGTGACCCGCGCTCCCAACGTCCTGCTGTGCTGCCTCGCAGCTTAAGGAGGGCGCGGCCCTGCGGCGGTGCGCCCACTCCCATCCCAACGCGTGCCGACGCCCCCTCGGCCATCCTTGCGCGCGTCCGGCCCCGCCCCCGCCCCCGACGTGCCCCCGCGCGCCGCGCCCCCCGCCCACCCGGCACGCCCCGCCGCCCCGCCCGGCCGCAGCGGGCCTGGAGCAAGCCGGAGGGCCTGAGCGACCCTCGCAGCGGCAACGTCTTTCTCCGCCGCTCGCCGCCATGGACGTGTACCCGCCGCACCGGCTGGGGCTGCCCCGCACGCGGTCCCCCGGCGGCCCCGGCCGCGGGTCGCCCTCAGTCAGGTACGCGGGGCCGAGGCCATAGAGGAGCGGCCGGGCCGGGGGGTTGCGGGCTGTGGGGGTCCGGCGACGCCTCCCGCTGCAGGGCGTGGTCCGACATGGCTTCCTTGCAGAAGGTTTTCCCTAAACGGCTGCCTGGGGACGTTTTCCCAGGAAATGAGCCCTGTGTAGCGGCTCCCACAATGGCTGCCCTGTAGACAGCCCCACAGCGGCTCCTCCGTGGAGACCCCCTGCTATGACATCCCCGTCCCTGTAGGTTTCCCCCAGGAAAGGTTTCCCTGTGGAGAACCTCTGCAGTGGGTTCTCTATGCGTAACTCACTTGCCTTTCTCTTAGAATATTTCCCCCAGAAACGGCTGTCTGTGGAGAAACCCCCCCCCCAACACATACAGTAGCTCCCTTGGGTAGAACCCTTGAATGGGTTTCCCCAGAAACGGCTTACCTAAATCTCCCCTATAGTAGTTCTCCTCTAGAGCCTTTCTCCTTGACAGCAGCATCCCTAAAGAGTGCCCCCCTCCCGCCCCTACATACATACACGCTGACAGCATCTTCACTATTGCGGGTTCCCCCACCTTCCCATGCCCCAGCCTGCATCGCGACGCTCCCTCATTCCACAATAGGGAGCTCAGGTTGGGGGAGGCGCAGGAGAGAAAACTAACTGGTGAATAGGAAAAAGAGGCCCAGTACCCCCCCAAAATTGGCGGACTCCAAGCCACTGAGGAATTGGCAGACCCTAAGCCCCTGAGGCTAGAGACAGAACCCCTGGGTGCCTAATGATGGGGAGGGTGATAATGGGGAGTGTCTCTACCCCCTTTCGTTATAGGAAGACCCGTTTCCGATTTCTGCTCCCAGTGCCTTTGGGGCTGACCTTGATAGTCTGGGCATTGTTTGCGATGGAGCTGTTATGAGGCCGCCAGCAGAGTGTGGAGGTTGGAATGAAGGAGCATTTGCGGCAGAGATCGTTGAGAGAAGAAAGAAGAGAGCGAGAGAAATGGGCTTTGGGATCTGCTAAACTGTCATTAAACCAGAAGAGGGTTTTTTTAATTTTGTTTTGCTTTTTCTCTATTTTAGTAGCTTAGCAAAGCAAATATGTTTTTCCCTTGAAAGGAGGTTGTTAATTTATATGTGAAAAATGGTTCTTCTTGTATCCTTGTTATGGTACTTAAGGAATTGTATTTTTAACTTTTTGCTGGCCAGTCTGGTTTTTTTGTTTTGTTTTGTTTTTATTTTGTTTTAACGAGAACAAATTCATGGAGAGTGAGAACTAAATCTTAAAATCCTGTCCCTTGCTTACTTCCTGACATTCCTTCCCCCACCCCGTTTGTTGAATGAATAAAGGTTGGGAGAGATAGGGCTAGATACCCGTGGTTGCATTTGGGAGTCTTAATTTGCTTCTAATTTGGCAGGTGACATTGTTTGAATTCCTGCTCTGCTCTTCAGGGGAATTCCTTGTGTTCTAAGTGTTTAGCTCCTTATGCTAACGATCTCCAATCTGTCCTAACATTTCTGGCAGCCACTTTCACTGTTAGAAGGTATTTGAACTTTGTACGGAATAGAAACCGCACAGGGTACTTCTTTTTTCTTTTCTTTTCTCTTTTCTTTTCTTTCTTTCTTTTCTTTTCTTTTTTTTTTTTTTTTAAGTAGGCTCCTACTCAGGACCCTAATAGCAAGAATTGCATGCTCTACAGTCTGAGCTAGCTAGGCACCCTTGCACGGGATATTTAGAATTTAGAGCAGCTATCCATTAAATCTAAGCTCTGTATAGACTTGGGGTTCATCCCAGATAATTTTGAGCTTAGGAATCTTGAGTTTGAAATTTTAGGAGAAAAAAGCTTCCCAGTGAACTCCCATCTCTATAACTGCTGCTATCCTTGTTTCTAGGAACATGGCAGTGCACAGCATTTTTTTTTAAATAGGGTTTTGTTGTTAGATTAATGATGGATAGCTTTATTAATCATAAACTCTGAATCTTAAAACAAGTGGTTGAGTGGAACTTGTTGGTCTTCAGACAAGGGATAGTGCACGGAACCCCAAGGCCTGTTTTACTTTGGTAAAGGAAATTGAGTCAAGGTTCTCCTCCTTTACCCTACTTCTACATAACCGAACATGCTTTTCTTACCCATTCAAGCCTTTCCCTGACTTTTGACATTGAATGGCAGTTATGGACTCAGCACTTTTCCTGTCACCCATATTTGAATTCTTTGCAGCACTCTGACTCTGAGTGATGTAAGAGGCAGGCATAACTGGTGAAGTCGCATTCCTGAAGACCCATAGATAGCACTTTGTAAGTGTGTGTTTCCCTTCTAGCAATGGAGTTAATTTTCACAGACGGGGAATAGAGATCAGGAGTTAAAACGCTGTTTAGAACTAGAAGCTGCTTTTTCAGGATGTGGTAGTCATTACTGCTGTGCATCAGCTATTTTTGGTTTCTGCCTCCTGGACATGTGGTACAATTATACTTGCCCCCTTGAATCTGGGTATGGCATTATGAGTTGCTTTTGGTCCATCAGTGTGTTCAGGAATGATGTGTATTCCTTCATGGTAAAAGCTTCCAGTGTATAATTTGCCACTATCTTTCCCTTTACTGTGGTGTCTGTTAGTGCTTCAGATGGTGGCAAGTCCATCAGTCTGGGACTCAGAGCAAACTTCAAGGTGACTTATGTTTGACATGTAGAGCAATTAGTAAACCTTCATTGTTTCAAGGCACTGAGATTTTGGAATTATTACCAAGTAACTCTCTTGACTGGTACTAAATCTCCCCTACAGTAGTTCTCCTCTAGAGCCTTTCTCCTTGACATCCCTAAAGAGTACCCCCCTTATGTTCTCCTACTTCAGAGGAAAGGAGGCAGGCTCCCTGCTGAGCAGAGAGCCCAATGTGGGGCTCGATCCCAGGATCCTGGGATCATGACCTGAGCTGAAGGCAGAGCCACCCAGGCGCCCGCCATTTTACTCCTCTTTATACAAATAATCCAACATACACTGGGCTAGGTGTTGTGAGACAAATAAGGTAGGCCATTGCCCTCAAAGAGCTCCTTTATAAGTGGAAGGAGACAAGAACGGTGCAAATCATAATACAGAGAGTTGAGAAATAACTACTGAGGAAGAAATAGGGCTGAAGTAATAATAATGTAAGAAGGTATAGTCAATTTTGAGTTTGTTGGAAAAATGAAATTGTCATTTACTGATACTGGGAACACTGGATTTAGAGCATTTTTGTGGAGAAAGGGAGTTCAGATTTGGCCTTATTCATTTTGAGTTGCCTAATATATATCCAAATGGAGATCTTGGATAAGCAGTTGGATATATTAATCTGGAGTTCAGGAGAAAGACTGGAACCGGAAATATTATGCTGATGTCTCTCACATTTTTATTTAGATCTTTGAGACTGGGTAGAGATCCCGAGAACAAATTAGATAGAGAAGACTAACATGCAAGCCCTGGGATATCCTGTCTAGGAAAGACAGTGTAACAGTTCCAAATTCTGATGAAAAGTAGCTTCCTACTTCTGAGATGGGAGAAGAATCCAGGACAGTCATGGGAAGCCAAATAATAAGTACCATTGGTGGGCTGATGAGGAATATGAACAGTCTATTAGATTTGGTAATATAGAGGTCATTGGTGACCTTGACAAGAACAGGTTTGGCGCAATGGGTTCAAGAGAAAATAGAGGAGAAGAATTGAAGACAGTGAGTATAGATAGTCATAATGATGTTGTTTCAAGGACTGAAGAGCAGAGCAGTAAGGCTGTGACTATGAGAGAGAGGAGAATAATGCAACTATGGCTATCAGAGAAAGCAGAGAAACGGGTCTGGTTAGAAGGGTTAAAGTGTTAGAGTTCTTTTGTTTTTAGGTGGACAGACATTATAGCCTTCCTAAAACAAAGTTGATGGGAATGATGGAGTACAGAGAGGGAAATTGATTATTAAAAGAAAGAAAGGGACTATTGCAGGGGTGAAGTCCTTGAGCAGTTTGAGAGGGAATTAGATCTAGGACATAAATGGATATATTAGCCTCAGACTATATAGGTACATGGACAGTTCATCTGTGGTGAGTATATAGACCCAAATGCTGGTGTGTTGGTAGCTTGGTGGTGGGAGAAAATGAAATTTCTCTTCTGTTTACTTCTGTATTTGCCATTAAATAGGAAGGCAGATCTCAGCTAAAAATGAAGAGTAGAGAAGGTGTTAGAAGTTTGAGAAGAAAGAAGGTGTAAAATCCATCCAAGAGAGTTGGGGAAAATTAGTTGAATAAAGAAATATTTTAGGATTGCCAGGCAGCTCCAAGTACCCATTTGCTCTTTGTTGTCATAAATTTAAGGTGAGACCCAGTTAGCATGGTTGTATGATTTTCCTTCAGCTTTGTTGAGCTGTTTGGAGGTGGATACTGTGGAAGGGAGTGGCTCAAGTAGTGTAGAGGACATCATTGGAAAACTGGAATAAAGGAACTGAGAGGTAAGGATAGTGGGAGGATTGCTTGTCTTAGTGCTTACTGAAATTATCATGAATGAAGATAGAAGTAATAATAGCAAAAGAGATAGTGATCGAGAAGCTAAAAATCTTTAGGGAATGTAGAGAACTGAATCCCAGAGATTTGTAGTATTTGTAACAAGAAGGGCTAGCGGGTGGTTATTGTTTGATGGCATGAAGATTTCACCCAAAATAAAGCAAGAAGTTAAATAAACAAATAAACTAATTATGGTTGATTGATTGATTTTTCACAAAACCAGAGGATATGAGTTTCTAGATCAAAAGGACATTTCAGTAGTCCGGCACAACTAGTTTAAAAATATCCTTGCCGAGGTAGATCATGAAATTTTTGAGTGCTATAGAGTCAAAAGAATAGCTACAAATAGATAGGGTCAGGAATCATAGGATTGCAGCAAGACTGGAAACTAGAAGATAATGGAGAAACAATGCCTTCTGAAGGAAGTGGATTCTTTCCCAGAATTCAATATCCAGCCATACTCTCAAGCAGGTTTGAGGGATGGTTAAAGATATTTCACAC